CCATAACCATAACCATAACCCTAACCATAACCATAACCCTAACCATAACCCTAACCTATTATATTGATATAATATTATATTTATATTGATGTAAATGACATTGGTTTTATTGGGACCCATGATGATGTTCTCTATCCTTGAACCATTGGGCATTATATTTATATTGATGTAAATGACATTGGTTTTATTGGGACCCATGTTCTCTATCCTTGAACCAAAGAGGCCATAGAAACATTGAGAATTTGGTAGTAGATAGATTTCGTATTTAGTTAGCATTATATTTTATTGAAACGCTTCAAGTGCCCGTGGAAAAAGGTGCTGCACACCCGACCGTCGTGCGCGCAGTGAAGAAATTTAAGTCTTGTGCACCCGACCGTCGTCCAATATTAATTGATGCGTTGGAATGAACTGAACGAAACGTGTATTGTAATAGGATAATAAGGCTGATAGGGTCTAGACTCTAGAGGTTTACCATTGCGCTATTTACCCAAACTTAAATTTGTCACTATTGAGCCCACCCCTGTGTCTCCAACCTATTTTTCCAGCTGAGCATTCTGCGTAAATGCACTTAATCAGTGACGTCACGGTCGTGTACCGAATCGGGGTTTCATCGCAATCCAATAAAAATGTATGCTATGTTTGACTATATTTTTTTTCCCTTTTTTATAAACGAAGAGCTAGCTTTTATATTTTAGTTTTACAACATCGGAAATTGGATGCTGAAAGTCAGGGTACCGTGGGACAATGCAGGGTACGCAGCGACATATCGTATAGTACCCCGAGGTACTTTCAGATATATCGAACCGTACCCAGGGTACCTTTCGATAGTACCCTGGGGGACATAGACCCTATCAGCGTGAGTACACGCATAACTATACAGACGTTTGTAGGTAACATAGCAGGGGCGGATCTAGTGGGGTATCCAGGGGGTCCGGACCCCCCCTTTAATTTCAAAGTGCCCTAAAAAAAATTCTGCTCAGATGCTCTCAGAATGCACCAATTTTTAAATATTTTCTTGTGGGAGGTCCCCAAACCCCCCCCCCCAAGTGGAACGCCTTCTGGGACGTGTCGCAAACTCCCTTCGCAGGGCCTTAGCCTGGGGGGGAGGGGTGCAAGGGGGCAGCTGCACCCCCTAGATTTTGGAGAAAAATAAAAAAAATAAATTGTTCTACTAAAAGAGAATTGTCGTAGTCAGAATAAAGGCTGTACATGTAAAAAAGTTCATCAAAGGTGCCTCAAATACCATTTCCTGCGATCTACATTTTCTGTGGGACGACCCCCAGACCCCCCACCTGTTTCTCACCCCTCCTTGAAATTCTGGATCTGCCACTGCCCCCCCCCCTCTAGAAATTTGCTCAGCCTACGGCCCTGCTTCGGCAGCTTTTTAAAACACCAGACAAAAAGCAGAAAAAAGTGCCCTTTATTTTTTCCTGGACACCCCCTTTCAAAAATCCTGGATGCGCCCCTGCATAGTCATAGGAAATTAAGAAAATTCTCACATCACTGTCACGTGGCTCTCAAAAAATGGAAAATCACTGCTCGTTCCCGCTCGCGTGTGTAGGACCTATTATTTTCAGTAATTACGTGTAAGTTACTGACATAGTACTTTAGAATGGTCTGATTGTAACGGGTGGAGAGAATATTCGGCCCATTGTTGCCCCAGATTCTATGTCATGTCAGTATGTCATATATGTGGTTTACCGTTAACAATGTATGTATGGACCGAATAGGCCATTAGTATTGCTGATATGGTCTATGTCCCCCAGGGTACTATCGGAGGGTACCCTGGGTACGGTTCGATATATCGGAAATATATGTCGCTGCGTACCCTGCATTGTCCCACCATACTCTGACTTTCAGCCAACTGATCATGAAAATCATGCAGAACCATATATATACATATATGGCTTTGCAGAAAAATTATAATTTTTAGTGGATGACAACGTTTTACGCTTCTCCCCTATACTGGTGGGTGAGGTATTACCGCCGCAAGGTATTGCCGCCGTCACATGCGTATTGATTTTTTTATATTTGATGTCAATATCAAACCATTTTTATTTATGGTAATGATAGTATTACAATGATAACATTAAACTACGAGACTACTAGCTTTTATTAATTTGTCTAAATTATTCATATTAATTGATGATTCATCAATTAATCTCAATATTTTTGCTGTTTCACAGACTGTGTGTGTGAAAGTCAGGGTATGGTGGGGCAATGCAGGGTATGCAGCGATATATCCGAGGTACTTTCCGATATATCGAACCGTACCCAGGGTACCCTCCGATAGTACCCTGGGGGACATCTAGACCATATCAGCCTTACTGAGTACATACTCTACCCATTTACATGGCGAGTAATGGATCAATGTAAAGAATTCAGGCTAGTTAGGGCTCTAGTT